GGCAGTGATTGGGAGGTCCAGTTGGGTGACTTCAAAAATGGCGTTGACCGGGGCAGGGTCTTCAGCTGGGGCAGGCAGGGGGCAGCGGCTGAGGGCGTCTGCGTGGGACAATGTTTTACCTGGGCGGTGCACGAGTCTATACGAGTATGCTGCTAGGAAAAGGGTCCATCTGGTCATTCTGGGGGACAGAATTTGAGGGGTCTGCTTGTCACCTGCTAGTAACCCTAAGAGCAGTTTGTGGTCCGTGACTAGCTCGAAAAAGTGGCCAAAGAGAAATTCGTGAAATTTCTTCACCGCTGCAACAGCTGCCAAGGCTTCTTTATCGATCTGACTGTAATTGCGCTCTGTTGCAGAGAGCGTCCTGGAAAAAAAGCGATAGGGGCCTCGGAGCCGTTGGGGAGCCTGTGGCTTAAGACTGCCCCAATTCCGAAGGGAGATGCGTCTGCTGCCAGTACTAATGGAAGGTTGGGGTCAAACTGGATAAGCACTGCCTCTGATGTGAGTAGCGACTTGACTGTGCGGAAAGCGGAGTCTTCTTTGTGTCCCCAATGCCAAACCGTTTTTTTATCCAGAAGTCTGTGGAGGGGTTCTGCCACAGAGGCTTTATGGGGCAGGAACGACGCGTAAAAGTTCAAGAGCCCCAAAAAGGCCTGCAGTTCCGCTTTGGAGGTTGGAGTGGGTGCCTCGTGTATTGCCTTAACCTTGGACTCCAGGGGGTGAATGCCTGAGGCATCAATTTTATAACCCAGAAAGTCCACCTGTCTAGTGGCAATGGCACATTTTTCTTTTTTTAACTTGAGGCCATGCTGCCTGAACCTCTCTAGGACTGCTCGAACTCTCTGGAAGAGTTGGGGTCTGTTCCTGGCCGAGACTAAGATGTCATCGAAGTAGGGTACTACTCCAGGAAGGCCCTGTAAAATCCACTCCATGAGGGATTGAAAAATGCCTGGGGCAACACTTACGCCAAACTGGAGACGCTTGCACCGGAAGGCACCCCTGTGGGTGACAATAGTCTGAAGTTCTGCCGTTTGGTCATCAACAGGGAACTGTTGATATGCTTGAGACATGTCCAATTTGGCAAAGATAGTGCCAGGTTCAAAAGTATGTAATAAATGCTGAATGACGGGTACTGGATAAGCGCTAACTTGCAAGAATTTATTGATTGTGGTTTTGTAGTCTGAGCAAATTCTCAGGCTACCATCTTTTTTGAGGGGTGTGACGATGGGCGTCTCCCATTTGGCGAAGTCTGTAGGCTCCAGGATCCCTTGTTTTAGTAATTTATCTAATTCAAGGTCTAATTTAGGCCGAATGGCGAATGGAACTCTGCGAGGTTTTAACCGAATTGGGACTGCCTGGGGATCGACTGAAAATGAGATAGGGGTGCCGTTATAACACCCTAACTCATCACTGAATACGTCTGAGTAATCAGCAAACAGGGAGTCCGTGTCAGAGGTTGAGGTAGCATGGACTCCTGTTAGCCCTAAACCGAGGTGGGGAAACCAATCAAGTCCCAAAAGTGTAGGGAGGTTGCCGCTCACTACCACTAGAGGTAGGTGGCCCTTAAAGGTTTTAAAATTAACAAAAAACTTGCCTCTGCCGATTACAGGAATGGTCTTCCCCTGGTAGTCCTTTAGGCTAAGCTGGCACTTCTGGAGTCGGTTTCTTGATAGGCTGGGTTGAAGCTCCTTGAGGGTGTTCCAGGAAATAATGGAGAGCGCTGACCCCGTGTCAACCTCCATGTTGCAAGGTTTACCTTCTAATAAGACGGAAAGAGAGATTTTACTAATAGAATAGCAAGTGTGATTAGCGCAGAGGTGTGTGCGACAGTTTAATACTTGCCTTTGGGGCCCGGCATGTGCGAATGAAGATGCCCTTTGTGCTACGTTGTGTGAGGCTTGGCATACTCTTGCAATGTGCCCCTTCTTATGGCAGTTGTTGCAAGTGGCTCCTTTGAATTTGCATGTGGTCCTCAGGTGAGGTCCACCACAGGAAAGGCACAGGGTGATGTGCTTGGATGGCCCGGTGTTATCTTGTCTGGTTCCTGCCTGCAGGCGCCTGGCGTTTGTGAGGCGGTGAATGTCGGCCTCGTCACTTGGGTCTTCCTCGTTGACCACCTCTTCTGAGTGGACGGGAACTGCTGTTTGCTTGGTGACAGGACCTTGGATCTCGGTGGCTGAATGAGATGCCAGCTCCTCTGCCAGGGCTTCCTCGATGGCTTGAGCGAGGTTAAGGTCTTTTTTGGCGAGCAGCCGTCTTTGTAGGTGCAGGTCCTTGACCCCGCAGACCAGCTGGTCTAGGAGCATGTCATCAAGATAGCTGCCAAACCCACAATGGAGTGCTGCAGTCCTGAGAGCAGCCATGTACTGATTGATGCTCTCTTTGTCCCCCTGCTTCCTCATTCTGAAGGTGAAGCGTCTGGCAATCTGTGAAGGTCTAGGAGAATAGTGGTTAGTAAGGATTTCTAACAGTTCTGTCCAGGGGACATTCTTTAACTCACGTGGAGCCACAAGAGCTGTGGCTGTATCGAAGACGATGGCTCCACAGTAGGTCAGGAAATATGCTTTCTTTCGGTGTTCCCCTGCATCAGCCAATCCAATGGCGTCGATGTAATGATTAAACCGATTCTTGTATGATTCCCACTTCTCCTCATCCGGCTTGAACGCTGGGAAGGCTGGATTGGAGTTCATGTTGTGGGTCTACTGGTTAACCTGTTGAGGAAAACGCTCTCTCTCTGGGTAGCAGTAGAGGTTTAGTGCCTGTGCTAGGCAAGTGCTCTCTCTCTCTGGGGTAGCAGTAGAGGTTTAGTGCCTGTGCTAGGCAAGTGACTTCAGCTCTGGGGAAATTTCGCAATTCCCTTCTCTCTCTCTGGGGATCAGAAGGTGTTTAGACTGCAACGGTCGTTGGCAGCATCTTTTGAAATTCGCGCCTGTGTGGGCGTTAGCGATTTCGTAATACAACGCTGTGTTGTATTTGAATGTGCTTCAGCTGACAGCTGTTTGAATTTCGCGCCTAAACGGCACGAGCGGCTGTGGCTCGCAGCGTTACACTTCCTCTGTAGCTTATGCTAACAAGCGGCTACAGGCGCTTCTCACTTTCACTAGCTTGTTTGCTGATCGCTTTCTCTCTGGGTTGCGATCAGCGTTTGCCCTTATTTTGGCTGATCGCTCTCTCTCTGGGCTGCG